GTGTGGCACCGGGTGTCTTCAATATTGAACCTTTTCACAATATTCTAATTTTCTGAGATACTGAATTTGGGGTTTTCATTAGTTGTCAGTTATAATCATCAAAATTAAAAGAAATAAACACTTGAAATATATCAGTCTGTGTGGAATGAATGTATACATTATACAAGTTTCACTTTTTGAATGGAATTAGTGAAATAAAGCAACTTTTTGATGATATTCTAATTATATGACCAGCACCTGTATATTTTTTTCAGATAGCCTTTAAGAATGCCTTTGACAAAAGAAGAATGTATTGAAATCATTCTCATGGCTGGATCGGGAAGCTGTCACAAGGTTGCGATGGACTTTAACAGGAAACATGGCAAGCACATCACACACAACACTGTTGCCAAACAAATTCAAAAAGACTGGAAGTGTTGCAGACCAACTGAGAAGTGGACGTCCACGAACAACCACTGACAAAGGCACAACTGACGTAGTGCTGGCATACACAGTCCCCTACGTATGGAGACTTTTGGGACACCCTGTAATATGTCTAAATAGTAATGACACCAATGGTGAACTGACAAACTATTTAGTATGGTAGTATGCAGTTTGGGAAGTGGGCCAAGTGTTGAGGATATAATTAAATGCTGTTGTTTCCTCAGTATTAGAGAAGCATTATGAGAATTAAAAAAATTTAATTGCATGTATCAATGTGACTGTCAGAGTTACTGAGTACTAAGGTGAAAGAGCAGAACATTTTGGTTTCTCCACTGTAATCTCACAGAGTGCTGGTGTGTTGACTCACATCTATCTGCTTTCAGAGATGGCTCCATGCATCTATGAGGCTGATAGACCTCCAACCCTAGCTAGCTATCTAAAATACATTGTAGAGAAGTTACAGGTAAAAAACTGCAGAGAAACACACAAACACCTTCCATAGTCACTAACCAACTATCATAAGTTCTCCAGCTATACAACTTCACACCTGGATAATGAGGATAAATCGGCTGACTATCATTCACTAGGTTACAACTAACTACAGAACAAATAAATGCCTTACCTGTTGTTGTTGTTGTTGTTCTTCTTCTTCTTCTTTTGGCTGCTCACATTAGGGGTCGCCACAGCACATCATTGGCCTGCATATTTGATTTGGCACAGTTTTAACACCGGATGCCCTTCCTGACGCAACCCTCCCCAATTTTATCTGGGCTTGGGACCAGCACTGGTAGTGCACTGTCGTGTGCAACCCCAGTGGCTGGGGTTGGTTCCCCGACTGGGACTCGAACCCAGGCCGCAGTGATGAGAGCACCATGGCCTAACCACTAGCCCTCCAGGGACCCAAATACCTTATCTCTTAAGCTAGAATAAAACTTTAGCTAAAATTTCATCAGTCCTAAATTCTTTTTCCTAATATACTAGACTCTTTCATTCATAGGCTCCCATTTGAATTGCTTACATTCTCACACTCTCACCTGCTTGGCTGCAGCTCCTTCCAGTCACCTGGCAGTCCAACTTATTTTGTGCCTACAGTCAGTGGGATGATGCTTGACTTCTAGGAGTATAGCGTATGACATACGATATGTTTTCCTGATACTTCCAAATTGACACCCTGGACACGCCTCTGACAATGAGTTACTATTATACGATTTTCAGGGCAACTCACAGCAGCTCAGGAACGTCCGATTATAGAATATTTTTGTCCCCTGGCTCAATAATCATGTTATTTTTTTTAACAACTGGGGTATTAGGTGGATATTGTGATATGGACGACATACTGGCGCAGTGAGAAGCATTGCCACCTCACAGCTTCAGGGGCCCCGGGTTTGATGCTGAGCTCGGGTTGCTTTCTTTGTGGAGTTTCTGTGCATGTTCTTTGAAATAATAATAATAATAATAATAATAATATGAAAATCAATCAATCAGTCAATCCAACTTAATGCCAGTGTGGTGCACAATAAATACACATTATAAGCTAGAGGACAGAGCAGAATATGGAAATTTACACAGCGTACAAAAGAGTAACCTCTTTTTCAGTAATTAAACCAGAAGATTTAAACTTAACTTCCGACATTTCTGAAATATTTCAGATTTTAAATTCAGTCATTAAAGGATAAGGTGTGTTCATCATATGCATTAGTTCCCTGTGTGTACATTACTGTAACTCTCAGCAGCAACTTCGCTCAGGAATGTATTAACCTTAGCCTGTTTTTTGGGGGGAATAATCCATATTCCAAGCAGGGGAGCATTTTTACAACTAACCACCCCGACTGTTAAACAGGTCAACGTTTTGCAGGCAAGTAATAAAATTGATATAAATAGCATTGACTCTTGTTCACTGTGTTAGTTTAACGAGGTTGAGAGTGTTCGAGGTCGCTGTACACAGACGTGATTTTACTGGCCACCCCTCTCGGAGTTTGTAGTTCAACCTGCGGAATTTAAAGGCAAAATGGCGACAGGGTGATGGATGGCAGGCGAATATCCAGCACTTAACCGAGTGTCATGGCGATTTTGTCGTTGCCTACGAATTTCCAGCGTCGGAAAGGTAGGTCTGATACTCGGTTACAAGCGTCCGCCATTATCCATTTGCTGTTTATCTGGAACGACCGCCGACAGCGCGGTTGTGTCCTTTGGGGTTGGAGTCCTTGGGATGAAAGCTCAAAGACACGGTTGTGGTGGAAATGCAGAAAATGGCCAAGTCAGTGTGCTGGTCGATACATACTAGTGTAGAGTCTCTATACTGAGCATAATGTAAGTACTCAGCATGGGGTGATATTTTAGTGTCATCCCACTTAATCAGACTTGCTGAAGCAATTTAAGTTTTCTTAAATCAGCACCATATAGCATCATTTACACATGCTTATCAGGTTTTCCCTGTTTTACACACATGATCCAGTTTATAATCCTTTTTATTAAATACTGATTTGGATCAGCTATGCTGGAGTATGGGAAATTTGCTATGATAATTATTCCTCATTAACAAACTTTTCATTGCTACTGTAAGCATGCAGACCTTCACTGTTTTCCTTCTGGGAGCATGCTGTATTTTATTCATACAAGGCAGGTGTTGTCAGGATGTTCCTGGAGTGCTGTCAGTCACTGAGAAAGCCAGAAGATTTGGCCCATGATGTCAAACTTCAAACTCTCCACCTTGGCTGAGATTTGGGATCTGATACTTCAAGCAAAACCTCTAAAAGCTATGCACGGTGGATGTTATCTTTACTAGACTAGCCTACACAGAGCCATCCTGTAGCTCAGCTACAAATTCTGATCTTAACGCATTTGGCATAGCAAGGCTGAGAGAAATTAAGTGTGGTGGAAATTTGTTAAATCTCTATGGCATAAAGTGCTCAAAATAGCTGGCATTGGACTCAGCAAAAGCCCCAATAAAGTGAAAACCATTGTTATGGAGAACAGATTTATATATAAAGGTTATGTGGCATGCAGTCATTAGCTTCAAAATAGAAAGACCAAGAGTCATCTAAAGAGTTTAAAAAATGAGCCTGGAGAGATAAGTGTCTGCATGCAGTATAATAGTTTGTGCATGGGGTTCTCTTTTAGCAGCCAAGGAGCCTTTTTGTTGTAAAAGAAAATCCACAGACCGCTTCAGCCCATATTTATTACTCTTTCAAATATTAGGCTCATTATTCTAATGTGTACAATAATATGCTGACTGTTTGTTGGAGCCAAAGAGAATTTTATTCCTGAACTTTCCAGTGAAAGAGCACATTAGTTCCAAGTTGATATTATTTATAGCCTTGCATAATTTTCACTTATTAAGGTTTGGAATAAACCCATTTAATTCAAGTGACCATTCAGACAGGCCATAAGAACTGTTATAATAATAAAACTTTGATAATGGTAACCTCTCTCAACCTCTCTAACAAAATCACAAATAAAAAAAAAATCCATACTAGCATACAACAGTATCTTACACAGAACTAAAGCCGTTATCAGATCTGAACAAGTAACCGGGTTATTCAGTGCATGTATACCCTTAATCTGATATGTTTAGTTCAGGGGTGTCCAATCTTCTCCAGAAAGGGCTGGTGTGGTGGAGGTTTTCATCACAACTAAGCAGAAGCCACACCTGAGTCAACTGAAAGCCAAGATCAACTGACTAAACAGGTGGAATAAGTTGTGGCTCCTGCTTGATTGGAATGAAAATCCACACCCACACTGGCCCTTTGTGAATAAGATTGGGCACCCCTGATTTAATTTTTCTACTTGCAGTCATGAGAAAAAGAAAGTACACCCTCCTTCAATTCTGTGTTTTTATTTATCAGGGTTATTTAACAGTTGTCTATTCCGCACCAACTTCTATAGACAAACAAATAACCTCAGGTGACAACAACAGCAAAAAAAAAAAAAAGATTTCAATATGTAGTCATTTTTTTTCTCCTAAGTTAAACCAAAATTCAGAAACCAGGTGAGAAGACATACAGTTGGGTCCATAAGTATTTGGACGGTGACACAATTTCCGTAATTTTTCCTCTGTACACAACCACAATGGATTTGAAATGAAGCAGTCAAGATTCAAGAAAATATTACATTAACCGTTTAGGAATTACAGCCACTTTTTTTTTTAACGTAGTTCCTCCATTTTCACAGGCTCAAAATTAATTGGAAAAACTAACATAATTATAAATATAAGAATTATTTTTTTTGTGATCTTTTTATTGTCTTTTACATATAAATATAAGGATTATTTTTAATACTTGGATGCAAATCCTTTGCAGTCCTAAAGTCTGGATGCTAATGCAATATTTTTGTTAAACCCCTTGAATTAAAGCTGAAAGTCTGCACTTCAGTCATATGTTGATTGCTTCATTTCAAATCCATTGGTGTACAGAGGCAAAATTCTGACAATTGTGGTACTGTCCAAATACTTATGGACTCGTCTGTAAGTACACCCTATAATTCAGTAACCTGTAGAACCACCTTTAGCAACAATAACTTGAACTAAATATTTTCTGTAGGAGTTCATCAGTCTCTTTCATTTTGGAGAAATTTTGGCCCACTCTTCTTTACAACATTGCTTCAGTTCATTTGAGGACATTCGTTTATAAACTGCTCTCTTAAGATCCTGCCAAAGCATCTCAATGGGGTTGAGGTCTGGACTTTGACTTGGCCATTCCAACACCTTGACTTTTTTTGTTCTTTAGCCATTCTGTTGTCTATTTGCTGGTGTGCTTGGGATCATTGTCCTGTTACATGACCCAGTTTCGGCCCAGCTTAAGCTTCTGGACAGATGGTCTCACATTTGTCTCAAGAAAATTCTGGTATAAAGTAGAGTTCATTGTTTTCTCAATGACAGCAAGTTTCGTAGGGTCTATATAGCTGCAAATCAGGCCCAAATCATCACCCCTCCACCACCATACTTGACAATAGGGATGAGGTGTTTGTGATGATATGCTGTGTTTGGTTTTCGCCAAACATGGCGCTGTGCATAATGACCAAACATCTCCACCTTGGTCTCATGTGTCCAAAGGATATTGTATGTGTATGTATGTGTATTGTAAGGATCATATGTGCTTACAGAGGCCTGTAGGTCACATGATGTAACTCTTGGGATTTTCTTTATATTGCCGAGCATTAAACTGTCAGACCTTGAACTGAATTTGCTGGGACACCCACTCCTGGGAGATTGGCAACTGTCTTGAAGGCTCTCCGTTTGTCAACAGTCCTTCTCACTGTAGAATGGTGAATTTTAAATTGTTTGGAGATGGCCTTATAACCCTTCCCAGATTGATGAGCAGCAAGAATTACTTCTCTGAGGTCATGGCTGATGTCCTTTCTTCTTGGCACGATATAGAGACACACCTGAGTGCGGAGGGATTAACTAATCTTGTGCATTTCATTAGTAACACCTAGCTGCTAATTACTCTCTTAAAGATAGTGGAAGTAGGAAGGGTGTATTTATTTTTTCCTGCCTGGTTTCTGTATGTTGGTTTACTTTTTGGGGAAAATGACTACATATTGTGTTTTTTATTACCTGAGGTTATTTTTTGTTTATAGAAGTTGGTGAGAACTACATAATTGTTATTTAAGCCCTGATAAATAAAACAGAATTGAACGAGGGTGTACTTTTTCCCCATGACTGTATTTGCATGTGTACAAACATAATTGGATAGAAGTGCTGCACCAATCTGATGGCAGAAAATACAGGAAGAGAGACACTAGAGGTAGCGCTGCAGATGTCATGTGTTTAGTGCAAAGTCACATTGTTGACACTCATGTAAACCTAGAATTTTCCATTTATCACTTTAAGTAGATGTCAAATAATGCAAAAACTAGATTTAATGGGTATCTGATTATTTTATATTGGTACAAATGCTCA